GATCTCTTAACATTTTATGGAGAGGTGGAAATGTTATCTGGTTTTGATGAGCTATTTTCCCCCTCCTTTTTATTCTTCATTGAAAGGATTGTGCTAGAGCTGGAAAGAAAGGGGATACATGGAGAGGAATAGATCCAGAAATGTAATGAAGGCAATATAAAAACAAAAGGTATACACGAAGTTTTTTCATAAAATTTTTTCCCAATTACATGTAAAGGCAATTTTTAACATTCATTTAAAAATTTTTGAGTTCCAAATTCTCTCCCTCCCTTCTTCACCTCACCGTTTTCTGAGAAGGTAAGCAATTTGATATAGGTTATACATGTGCAATCATGCAAATCCATAAAAAAGTATATATTTGATAGATAAATACAAAACTCAGGCTTTTGATCTGTCATGCCTTGTTCTCATTTCATGATTATCCTATTTCTTTTTCTGATCATACAAGTCCTATTTGCCTGCTAACTACCCTTGGAAATATAATATCATAATAAGTTGGCTACAACCTACACATACCTACTCTGCATCTTTCTATTGTCACTTGGATCACCCATAATTTGAATTTTCTGAGATCATCGTGTTCCATGATTCACGGTTCCTATAGTATTACAGGAAGAATATTGGTGCTTTTTAAAAAAAATCACCTTTTGCAGCAGAGAGTAATTTGAAATCACTGAAAGTGCTCAATGATTTTCTAAATGGGATTTATCCTGATCTCTTTATTTATCTGCAGTACTTGTTTGAGATAAATGCACCCATGGACTAATTCACTGGGTTATCCTGCCAACTGCATGTCGTAATCTGGTCAATGTGCATTCTTTATCCAATTGGTTTTTCCAATGTGGATGCCAAGGTCAAATATCTTTGAAGAATCTCTGTAGTATTTCAGGGTCTGATAAAAGTAGCACAATGCTATCTGGAAACTAGGGCGTCTGTAGAATCCACTGAAAGAATGTCGAGATCAAAGAGATGGAGTTTTGCAGCAGCTCGAGGTCATTAAAAGCACTGTACAATTTCCTGATAAGGGATGAAAATTTGACTCCTGTCTAGTCCTCACTTTACTTAAGGAGAAACAGAAATAGAAAGATAAGTCAACTGCAACTGAATATTTGGTTTCTATCATACTTATTCTTTGAGAGTTCTACACAAGTTAGGAGACCAAATGTATCTCATCTTTCTTTGAATTATAAGTTGTATCAAATGCTTCCTCTTCCTAGTCATACTTGTAAAAGAGTATAGAAGCTAGTAAGTGTTGGAAATACGTAAGAAGTACATATATATAACTTTCATAATGTATATGATTACAAAATTTTTTCCTTAGTGATGAAGTCCCATAAACACATTATCAGTGTTTGATTGCTCAGTAACTATGGTTTTAGAAACAATTGCTTAATAATTTCATCACTCCACATATTACATTGTGGGGCTAGGTCAGTGAAAATACATTGCCCCTCCCTCCTATTTTCCATATCTGGTCCCACCAAAATGTAAATTTAATATTAAAATTAGCTATCAAAACCTACATTTGGAAAATGGGAGTGTTTAATACTTTAATTATTATTAAAATAAAATTGCAAAGATAGAAAAGGGTAAAGTTGTGAGGGATTTTAAAAGCCAAACAGAGAATGATATGTTTGATCCTGAAAGCAATAGTGAGCCATTGGAGTTAGTTGGGAGGAGGGGTAACTTGGTCAGAGCCGCACTTAAGGAAAAGCACTTGTGCAGATTAGTATAGTATAGGCTAGTGTGAGGAGAATGGAGTCAGAAAGACTAACCAGGAAACTACGGTAATAGTCTAGCTATGAGGTAGTGAGAGCTTGAATTGAGGAGGCTGCTGTGTGAGTGGAGAGAGGAGATATATACAAAAGTTATATATTGTTTGAAGGTAGAAATGATAGAACTTGGTAACTGATTGGCTGTCTGGGGTGAATGCAAGTCCAGGATGACATAGTGGTTGAAAGTGTGGGATGACTAGCAGGATAATGTTATCTTAGACAGTAATAGAGAACTTGGGAAGAAGGGAGGATTTGTAAAGAAAGATAATGAGTTGGGGCAGCTAGGTGGTGTAGTGGAAGAGCATCAGCCCTGGAGTCAGGAAGACCTGAGTTCAAATCTGGCCTCAGACTCATAACATTCACTAGCTGTGTGACTCTGGACAAGTCACTTAACCCCAACTGCCTCACCAAAAAAAAAATAGGAAAGAAAGATAATGAGCTCCTGGCACATAGTAAGTGGTTAATAAATGCTGGTTGACTGACTACTTTGGACATGTCAAGTTTCAGATGTCTATATAAAATCTATTAGGAGATGTTCAACAGGCAGGTGATGATTGGAGACTGGGGGTCAGGTCAGAGGTTAGAATGGAATAAATAGATGTGAAAATTATTTGTAGAGCCATTGAACCCATGGGAGCTGATGAGATCACCAAGTGAGATAGTATAAGGGAATAAGGGAAGAGGATCAAGGACCTATCCTTGAGGGATAGTCATACTTAGTGGATGTGACCTGGAGAAAGATCCAGTAAAGGAGATATCAGGAAGGGTCAAACGGGTAGGAGGAGAAACAGGAGAGAATAGTGTTATGAAAACCCAGAGGAGAGAGAATATCAAGAAATAGAGGATGATCAACAGTATTAGATGCTATAGAGAAGTCAAGAAGGATGAGGATTGAAAAAAGACAATTTGTTTTGTCAATTAATAGATCTTCTTGGTAACTTTGAAGATATTAATTTCATTTGAATGATGAGATTGGAAGCTAGGCTGCAAAAGGTTTAGAAGAGTGAGAGGAGAGAAAGTGAAGGTATATAGATTATATTTAATGGTTAGATTTATCTAGGTCTGCAATGGGTAAATTGAGGCTCTCCCATAGGTAGCACAGTGGATGGAGCATTGGGCCTGAAGTCAGGAAGACCTGAGTTCAAGTCCAGTCACTGACTCTTACTAGTTGTGTAACCCTGGACAAGTCACTTAACATCAATTTGCCTTAGTTTTCTCATTTGTAAAACAGGGATGATAATAATAGCACCTACATTCCAGGATAATTTTGAGGATCACATGAGAAAATAATTGCAAAGCACTTAGCACAGTGCCTGGCACATATTAAGTGCTATTTACGTGGAAGCTATTATTAGTATAGTTTTACTATTTCTTCCTATAATTCGTTTAACTTTTCCTTCAAGAATTTGAATGTTATGCCATTTGGTACATATGTGTTCAGTATTGATATTAATTTATTGTCTATGGTACATTTTAGCAAAATTAGCAATTCTAGTTAGTTTCCCTGATTACCTCTTTTAATTAAGTCTACTTTTGCTTTTGCTTTGTCTGAGATCATGATTGCTACTACTGCCTTTCTTTTTTTAAACTTCAGCTAAAGCATTCTGCTTCAGTCCCTTATTTTAACTGCCTGTGTTTCTGTTTTAAGTGTGTCTCTCATAAACCACAAATTGTTGGATTCTCGTTTCTAATCCATTCTCCTATCCTATTCTGTTTTATTGGTGAGTTCTTCCCATTCCCATTCACAGTTATGATAGCTAATTGTGTATTTTCTTCCATTTCATGTTCTTCTATTTATCCTGCTCTTTTTTTCACCCTATCCCATTCTCAAAAGTCTGTTTTGCTTCTGATCACTGCCTCCTTTAATCAATCTTCCCTCTTATCATCTCCCCACCTTCTATTAGCTCCTTCCCCTCCTATTTCCCTGTTGGGTAAGATAAATTTCTATACTCAGCTGTGTGTGTATATATAGTCATCCCTCTTCGAACCAGTTTAGATGAGAGTGAGGTTCAAGCATTGCCTGCTACCACCTTACCCATTTTCCTTCCATTGTAAAGACTCTTCTTTGAGCACCTCTTTTAAATGAATTAATTTTCTCCACTCTTCCTCTCCCTTCCCTTTCCCCCCAGTGCATCCCTCTTTCTCACTCTTCTATTTTTCTTTTGAGATCATCCCAACATAATAAGCTAACACACATACCCTGTAAGTAGAATCCTTCTAACTACCCTAAAATTCTTAGGGACTATTTGTATCATTTTCCCATATAAGAATATAAACAGTTTAACCTTATTAAGTCCCTTATGATTTCTCACTCATGTTTACCTTTCCTCTACAGGATTATATTTAGTTTTGCTGGTTAGTTTATTCTAGGTTGTAATCCTAGCTCCTTTGCCTTCTGGAACATCATATTCCAAAGCCTCTGCTCCTTTATAGTAGTAGCTAAATTGGTAGCTATTAGTGGCAGCTAATTTTGTGTGATCCTGACTGCAGCTATACTGTATTTAAATTCTTTTTTTCTGGCTATTTACAGTATTTTCTCCTTGACTTGGGAGCTTTGGAATTTGGCTACAATATTCCTCAGAGTTTTCATTTTGGGCTTTCTTTCAGGAGGTGATCAGTGGATTCTTTCAGTGAATTTTTGCCCTCTGATTCTAAAATATTGGGGCAGTTTTCTTTTGTGATTTCTTGAAACGTTATATCTAGGTGCTCTCCTCTCTCTCTCTCTCTCTCTCTCTCTCTCTCTCTCTCTCTCTCTCTCTCTCTCTCTCTCTCTTTCTCTCTCTCTCTCTCCTTATCAAGGTTTTCAGGAAGCTCAGTAATTCTTAAACTACTTCTCCTTGATCTAGTTTTCAGGTAAGCTGGTTTTCCAATTAGTTATTTCACCTTTTTTCCTATTTTCAGTCTTGTGACTTTTTTATTGTTTATTTCTTATGGAGTCATTAGCTTCCACTTGATCAATTCTGATTTTTAAGTAGTTATTTTCTTCAATGAGGTTTTGTACCTCTTTAAACATTCAGCCAATTTTTATGGAATTATTTTCTTCAGTATTTTTGTGCCTCTTTTACCAAACCATTAATTCTATTTTCATGATTTTATTGCATTGCTCTCATTTCTTTTCCCATTTTTTCCTCTATAGCTCTTATTTTATTTAAAATATTTTTGCCTTTTCCCCCCTCTTCCTTTGGCTCTTCCAGGAATTCTTATTTGGCTTGTTCCAATCTGCATTTTTCTTTGAGGTTTTGCTTGTAGATGTTTTCAGGTCATTGTCTCCTGAATTTGTGCCATGAGCTTCCCTGTAAACATGTTAGATTTTTATGGTCAGGTTCTTTTTTTTTTTTTGTTATTTGTTCACTCTTCCTATCTATTTTTTGACTTTGGACTTTGTGTCATAGTTGAGTTCTGCTCACTTCTGGGGATGAGGGTAGGGATATGTGGTTTGAGCTTCCATCTTTTATAAGCTTTTGCTGCTTTTACAACTCGCTGGGTGCCTGTAAGTTTTCAATACTTCCAGGGTGGTATAATCCAGGGAGAAGTCTGGTCATCACCTTACTGGCATGCACTCAAGTCCTTATACACATAGCTCTTGCTCCTTCATCTCTGCCCTGGAACTGCAACCCAGAACAGGGTAATGGATGACAGAATTGACGAATAGCACCTGATTCTGCACCTAGTGATAGTACAAGAGTCTCCTGGGATCTCTTTCTGCCCAGGCATTTTCTCCTTACCATCCCTGGGCACTGCTCCCTACTTCTGCTGCTGCTGCAGCTACAACAGCACTACTTTCACTGTATTATGATCTCAGCCAGCTCCTACATTCCTTAGAGTTTTTACTTAACTCTGTTTGCCTCAGTTTCCTCATCTGTAAAATGACCTCTCTTTCTGCTTTCCTAGGCTGCCCAAGGCTAGAAAATAGCTTACTGTGACTTTTTGTTTGTTTTCTCACTCAAAATTCAGTTTGATGTACTTTTTAAAGTTGTAGAGGAGTGTGTTGGGAGAGCTCAGCAAAAATGCTATCTTGGCTCCGTGCCTTCCCCCACCTGAGATAGATTACAGAGAGCTGTTCAAGGAGTTTAGCCACAAATGGGAAGAGAGACATAAGATGATAGCTAGCCTGTGTGGTTGAATCAAAGAGGGTTTTGTTTTGTTTTTTAGTATAAGTGAGGCATGGGCATGTTTGGTGGTCAACAGGGAAAGACTAAGAAGATAGGGAAAACTGGATTAATGAGAAAGTGAGGATGATACAGGAAAAGCAATCTGCTGGAAAAGACAGGATAGAATAAGATCAAGGATTGATAATAGAATGTAAGGTCCCTGAAGGCAAAGACTTTTTTTTCTTATATCCATAGCACCCAGCACAGTTCCTAGAACATAGTAGGCACTTAATAAATGCTTGTTGATTCTTTGATTCTGCCTCAATTGCCTTATTATAAATTAAGGGAGTTGGATAATAATACCTAAACTTTATACATTACAGTAGATTGTAAGGCTCTAATGAAGTAATATCTATAAAGCACCTTGGAAACTTTTAAGTATTATAGGAAAATCAAGCTATCATAATAGTTTCTGGTCATTTTTCGGTTGTGTCCAACTCTTTGTGACCCCATTTGGGGTTTTCTTGACAGAGATACTAGAGTGGTTTGCCATTTCTCCAGTTCATTTTACAGATGAGGAAACTGAGGCAAACAGAGTTAAGTGACCTGCCCAGGGTCATACAGCTAGTAAGTGGCTTAGGCTAGATTTAAACTCAGGAAGTTGAGTCTTCCTGACTTGAACTCAGGAAAATGAGTCTTCCCGACTACAAGTCTGGCATTCTATCGATTACGCCATCTAGCTGCCCCATCATAATAGTAGCTAGCATTTATATAGCATTGTAAGGTGCTTATATGAAAGCACTTTCCATATGTTACCTCTTTTAATCATCACAGCGACACTATGAAGTAGGGGTTATTATTATGCCCATTTTACAAAGCAGGAAAATGAAGCAGATGTAGGTTAAATAACTTGCCCAAGGTCATAAAGCCAGTAAATGTCTAAGGACAGATTTTAATTCAACTCTAGGTCCAGTGACTTATCCAGTGTACCAGCTCACTGCTATCATCTGATCTTATGAGTTTAAGATCTTATTTTTTCCCCTTTAAAAACCACACCTATTGGTTTATTAAATAAAATGAAGCTGTAAATCATAGTTTCCTCATGTATGGTCATCATAGGATGGTGTGGTGCAAGGGGTTTTAGATTTGGAGTCAAAGGACCTGGGTCTAATTTCTACCCATACAACTTATTACTGTGCGACACTGGGCATACTAACTCACCTCTTTGGGCCTCAGTTTCCTCATCTGTTAGATGAGAGAGAAGGGACTAGATGGTCCTTAAGGTACCTTTCCAACACTATGTCTATTATTTTTTTCCTTTATGGCTCCAAATGAAAAGGGGGGGTTCCATGACCCCGGGGTAAGACCAAGATTGACCTCCCTTCATGGAAGAGTTCAAATCTCAGATCTCTGATACTTGAACAGATCCTGGGCACATGGCAGTCTTTCAAGACTTACTTGTCAAAAAAAAAAAGGCTTACTTGTCAATATGCCAAGAAAATCATCCCGATTAAATCGACAGACAGACATACAGAAAGAGTGCCAGAAGGCATGATTTATTCCTTGATACTTTCCCTTTGATGCCCTAATTAGTGTATCAGGCTCCATGTCAGCTTGCCATGGAATATGTAGTTTGATATGATGGTTTGCTGGAGAAGCTTCAAATTATTTCTGATCTTAATTATAATCACTAAACTCGTATAAGGATTCATAGAAAATTTCCAATTGATTTTCCTAAAGCTCCAGGTTTGGCCAGTTCCTCCTTTTCTCTCTTCTGTCCCCTCAATAAACTCCAGTTGTTCCCTATTACCTCAAATATCAAATGAAAAATCCTCTGCTTGTCATTTAAAGTCCCTCATAACCTGTCTCCTCCCTACCTTTCCAGACTTCTTACACTTGACATCTCTTTATGATCCAGCAGGATCTGCCTTCTTCCAACACTCCATCTCCTGACTCCATGCCTTTTCAATGGCTGTCACCCATGCCTGGAATGCTCCCTCTTCACACCTGCTTCCTGGCTTCCCTGGCTTCCTTCTAGATTCAGCTCAAATCTCACCTCTCTATCTTGTATGTACATAATTGTATGTTTTCTCCCTCATTAAAATGTACATTCCTTGAGAACAGGGACCATGTTGTTTTACTTTTCTTTGTATTAGCAATACTTAGCACAGAGCCTCATACACAGTAAACTTAGTAAATGCTGGATTTGAGTCATGTCCCCTGATTCCAAATCCAGCCCTCTTCCCACTATATAGGTGGGAAGATTTAGGTAAGTTAGGAATCATTATTGCTGTTTACTGATGAAGAAACTCAGGCCCAGTGAGATTACGTGGCCTATCTTAGGCCATACTGTTCATTAGTGGCAGAAATGAGGCCAGAACTGCAACTTGCCAGCCAATTTAATAGCTTTTGATGCTCAAATGTTGGGAATAAGGAGAGAAGACCTATGTCTTTGACATTATTAGAGAACATATGGCAACAATTTTTTAAATTAATATTTATTTTGTTAGATATTGCCCAATTACATGTAATTTTTTAACAATCATTTTTTTAAATATTGGGTTCCAAATACTCTCCTTTCCTTCTAGCCCTCCCCCCTTCTTGAGAAGGCAAGCAATTTCATTTCAATTATTCACGTGAAGTCATGCAAAACACATTGCCATATTAGCATATGGCAACAATTGATCAGGCAAGGGAATATATGGTATATACAATAGTTATCATAGGAATTCAGGACAGGAACAGACCAGTGTGGACTGGATAAATCTATAGGGTCACAGAATCAGAGGAAGTTGGAAACGAACTTAGAAGTCATCTAGCCCAAACCCTTACCCAGTGAAAGAATCACCTCTACATTTTGAATCCTAGGTAACAGCCACCTTATGCATTCTTTATATCCCCTCCTGATTTCTCCAACATTTCTAGAGAAAGGGAGATTTCACTGAAACTTAATGCTATCTAACCTAAGTTGGGCCTTTAGATACCATTTAATTTGAATATTTCCATGGCTCTGTGATCTCATTCTTGTGGACACTCCTACCAGACTGTGGGAGTGCAGTGCAGACTGTAACCCATTTAAGTCTCATCCTGTGCAGTTCTTGCCCACAATCTTCCATAAGGGCTCTAAGCATTTCTTTAGAGCTGCATCCTGGGCCATCTCCAGTTGAACTGATCCATATCTGGCCACTGGACCCAGATGGCTCCAGGCGAGAAAGTGAGGCTGATGATTTTGCACAGCCCTCCCTCACTTAAATACAATTCACTTGCATGTCACGGCATTCATGGTCTTCTTCGAGAATGAAGGACAAATAGGAACCTCTGTGAGTAGAGAACTTCCAGTTGGGCAACATGGTTCCTTTCTCTCTCTTTCTCTCTCACTTTCTTTCTCTCTCACTTTCTCTCTCTTTCTCTCTTTCTTTCTTTCTTTCTTTCTTTCTTTCTTTCTTTCTTTCTTTCTTTCTTTCTTTCTTTCTTCTTTTTTCTTTCTTTCTTCCTTCCTTCCTTCCTTCCTTCCTTCCTTCCTTCCTTCCTTCCTTCCTTTCTTCCTTTCTTTCTTTCTTTCTCTTTCCTTCCTTCCCTCTCTCTCTTTCCTTCCTTCCTTCCCTCCTTCCTTCCTTCCTTCCTTCCTTCCTTCCTTCCTTCCTTCCTTCCTTCCTTCCTTCCTTCCTTCCTTTCTTTCTTTTTCTTCTCTTCTCTTCTCTTTCTTCTCTCTCCACATCGGGTAGCACATCCTTACCCCAGTGCAATGCCCAAAGGGAATATAAATTTTATTTTCTGAAACTTTTTTGTTGTTGTGGCTTTGTTTTTTTCTCTTAAAGACCAGCCTTAACCCCAAATCACTCTGGTCCCAGACTAAGCCCTACTTGGTCACTGAATGTTCTGATTGGCTCAAAATGGATGTAAATAACAATTGTTTCTTTTTTGGCCAGAAACCTTGAAGATCTTCCTCTCCCAGATCTATTTTTAAGAGGTCATTCTTTCCCTCAATCACTGAAAGGGCACTGCCTCAGCCAAACTGAGATCTGTTAAAACTTTAGCCTGAAAGGGCCAAGGTCCCCCACTGCTTCCTGGGTCATCTCCAGTTGTCCTGAGATGGCTCCAGGGGAAAATTAAGTGAGGCTGGTGACTTTGCACATCCCTTCCTCACTTAAATCCAATTCATTTGCATGTCAAAGCATCACCTCCCTGATGTCATGGTCCTC